ATGTTACTCAATTGCCAAGTTTTTTTTTTTTTTTCTTTTTTCTTCTTTCTCAATGCATATAATTTATCATTTGTGAACTTTTATTCACTTTTTAAGAATTAGATGTACCTAATGTCGGCATTGTTGGAAACTAGATCCTATTATTTAGCCATTACCTCTATAATTTAGGAAGTTTAAGTTATTTATTTGTTTTAGGTTGTTATAATTTAAATTAGATTAGACAAGATTAGTTAGTTATCTTTTTAGATAAAGTTATCTTATAAAGCCTATTTAAAGGCTAGTTTATTTTCAGTTTAATGAGATTTGGATTTTCATTCCATCTTTTTCTTCTCGGGAATTCTTGACTTTTGAACATTTGGTATTAAAGCCCATTCCCAGCATATTCCATGGCTTCTGAAAATTATGTCTAGCCTTCAATCCCTTGTTTTGATGGTCATCACTACGATCATTGGAGTATGTTGATGGAGAATTTTCTCTGGTCCTAAGAGTATTGGACAACTGTTGAAGTTGGAGTTCTAGAACCAGCGACAGGTGTAGATGCTACCCAGAGGGCAAAATTTGAGAAGGAAAAGTTGAAGGATCTCAAGGCTAAGAATTATTTATTCCAAGCCATAGATCAAGCTATCCTGGAAACAATCCTTAATAAGTCTACTTCCAAGACTATTTGGGATTCCATGAAAAAGAAGTACCAAAGGAATGAAAGAGCAAAGCGGCGACAACGCCAGGCTTTGCGGACAGAATTCAAAAGTCTGCAGATGTAGATTGGTGAATCTGTAGATGATTATTTTTCAAGGACGATGGCAATTGCAAACAAGATGAGGATCCATGGTGAAAATCTGGAGGATGTTGCCATAGTTGAGAAAATCCTTTGATCCATGACAACAAAATTCAATTATGTTGTTTGTTCAATTGAGAAGTCAAATGACATTGAGGCTTTTTCCCTTGATGAGTTGTAAAACTTGTTATTAATTCATGAGTGGAAGATAAATTGCCAAGACAAGCAAGAGCAAGCAGTGCAGATTTCACAGACGTAAGCCCTGTAGACCACAATTAATTCAGGGGCTGTAGGTCGAGGAAAAGGAAACTAGAAAGGTAGCTCAAGATCTGGCCAATTGATATCTGACAGATTGGAGGAAAGTTCAGCATTGGAAATCAGGAAAGGTGGTAGAATAGAAATTATCAAGCTGCAGAGAACAGATCTAAATCTATAGGAAAGGCAAGTATTGAATGCTTCAGATGTCATAAGTATGACCATTATCATTCTGAGTGCCGTGCTAATCTCAATAGAAGAGAAAGTTCTAACTTTGTAGAACACAATGAAAGGAATGACGATGCCTTTTTATTCATGGTCTATCATCCTAAAGAAGTCAGTAAGAAGAATGTGTGGTATCTAGATGCTGGCTACAGCAACCACATGTGTTGAGACAAATCTGCGTTTTCAGATTTGGATGAGTCTTGTCAAGACAAGGTGAAATTTGGTGATAATTCTACTTTTGCAATCAAGGGAAAGGGAAAGGTAACCATTCGTGCCAAAGACAATTCAATTCAAACTATTGGTAATGTTATGTATGTACTAGATTTGAAGTCGAATTTGCTTAGTCTAGGTTAGCTTAAGGAGAAAGGATATGAAATCCTGATTAAAGATGGAATTTGCTAAGTTTGTGATTCAAAACTTGGCTTGATTGCAAAGGTCAAGATGATAGGGAATAGGTTGTTTCCATTATACTTGCAGACTATAAATCTATCATGTTTATCTACCAGATGGAAGGAAACAGCTTGGTTCTAGCACTGCCAATATGGACATCTTTATTTTGGTGGGTTGAAAGCTTTGCAACAAAAGAAGATGGTAAATGGTCTTCCTCATTTTGATTCTCTTTCAAAAATTTGTGAAATCTACGTGGTCAGTAAGCAACACCGTGACATTTTTCCTAAAGACAGATCTTGGAGAGCAAAGCGAGTGCTAGATATGGTTCATTTTGATATGTGTGGACCTATAAATTCAACATCCAATGGAGGTCAACATCCAATGGAGGTCAACAATGCTTTATTACCTTTGTTGATGATTACAATTGCAGAACATGGGTGTATTTTTTGTAGACCAAGTCAAAAGCCTTAATAGCCTTAGCAGCCTTAGAAATTTCAAAGTCTTTGCTAAGAATGAGGCTGGCAGATCTGTAAAGGTTCTACGTATAGATCGTGGTGGTGAGTTTAACTCAAAGGAATTTCCAGATTTTTGTGAATCCAATGACATTAAAAGACAACTTACAGCAGCTTATACACCCCAGCAGAATGGTGTATTTGAGAAGAGGAATTGCACAATCATGAATATGGTGAGAAGTTTGATTTCAAAGAGTGGCTTGCCTAAGGAGTTTTGGCCAGAAGCTGTTAATTGGAGTGTTCATATCTTGAACAGAAGTCCCACATCTCCACTTTTAGATATGATGCTAGAAGAGACTTGGAGTGGATGCAGACCTGCTGTTGATTACTTAAGAATTTTTGGGTGCATAGCATATGCACATGTGCCAGATCAGAAAAAGAGTAAGCTTGATGACAAAGGGGAAAAGTGTACTTTCCTTGGTGTTAGTGACAAGTCCAAAGCTTACAACTTATTCAATCCTTTAACCAAGAAGGCCATCATGAGCTGTGATGTAATGTTTGATGAAGCAAGCACTCGGTCTTGGATAGAAAAATTTGGGCGACAGATTCTTGTAGATTTCGAAAATGGAGAAGATCTAACTGTGCAAAACTCAGAAGATCAGACACAGCAGATTAGAGGTTTAACTTTAGCAGATCTCGAAGTTTCAAGACAAACAGCTAAAGAAAGTCTGCCTGCAAAAGTAGAGCTCAGTATTGGAGGAAGTCTGCCACCAACACCAGAATTGGAATATAGAACTAGTTCACAACCTCAACGCAAAAAGAGAAGACCAGCATGGTTGGAGGATTATGAGGTAACAAATCTACCTCAAGATGATGTTCCAGTTACTCATTTTGCTCTATTTATAGATTGTGATCCATTAATATATGGAGAAGCTGTTAAAGAAGAAAAGTGGCAAAAAGCCATGGCTAAAGAAATTGGTTCTATTGAAAGGAACCAGACTTGGGAGTTGACAGATCTTCCAGAAGGGTACAAGACTATTGGTGTTAAATGGATCTACAAGACAAAGCGCAAAGAAAATGGGGAGGTTGACAAATTCAAAGCTCGCTTGGTGGCAAAGGGTTACAAGCAAGAGTTTGACATTGATTATCAAGAAGTTTTTGTTTCAGCATAGAACTCATGGTAGATCTACTAGCTTGATGTGCAATCGGCCTTCTTGCATGGAAATATGTAAAAACATGTATTTATTGATCAACCTCCTGGTTATGTGAAATCTGGTTTTGAGCATAAGGTTTACAAATTGAAGTAAGCATTATGTGGACTAAAACAAGCACCTAGAGCTTGGTATAGTCGAATTGATGCTTATTTCTTGAAGGAAGGTTTTCAGAAGTGCCTTTATGAGCATACACTTTACATCAAATTTGGAGATGGAGGTAAATTGATTATAGTATGCTTCTATGTTGATGATTTAATTTATACTGGGAATGATTTTGGCATGTTGGAAAAGTTCAAGCAGTTTATGAATTGAGGTTGATATGACAGATTTAGGTTTGTTGCATTATTTTCTTGGTCTAGAAGTAGTACAGTCAGATTTTGAAATTTTTGTTTGTCAGAAAAAATATGTGCATGAAGTTCTAGACAGATTTCAAATGAAGAACTGCAATTCTGTGACTACACTAGTTAACAAAGGTGTAAAGCTCGTGAAAGATCCAGGAGGTAGATCTGTGGACAGCAAACGTATAAGCAGATTGTTGGAAGTTTGATGTATTTGATAGCAACAAGGCTAGACATAATGCATGGTGTAAGTCTAATTAGCAGATATATAGAGAATCCAAAGGAGTTGCACTTGTAGACTGCTAAAAGAATTCTTAGATATTTATGTGGAACTGTAGATTTTGGACTATTCTACAAGAAGAGTGACCAAATAGATCTCGTAGGCTTTATAGACAGTGATTATGGTGGAAATCTTGATGACAAAAAAAGCACTTCTGGGTATGTTTTTATGTTGGGATCTAGGACAATTTCGTGGTTTTCAAAGAAGCAGCCCATTGTGACTTTGTCCACAATAGAAGTAGAGTATGTGGTAGCGACTTCTTGTGCTTGTCAAGCTATTTCGTTGAGAAGAGATCTGGAAAAACTTGAGCTAAATCAACATGAGGCCACTTCAATTTATTGTGATAACAGTTCAGCTATCAAGCTTTCTAAAAATCCAGTTCTGCATGGGAGAAGCAAGCATATACATGTGAGGTATCATTTCAAATGCAACTTGGTAGAAGATGGAACAATTGAGTTGACTTATTGCAAAATAGAAGATCAAGTAGCTGATATATTCACAAAACCCCTTAAAGTAGCAACTTTTTCAAAACTGAGAAAGTTACTTAGTGTTTGCAGCATGCAGAACTCAGTTTGAGGGATGGTCTGCAAATTCCATATTGCAGACATGGTGTTATCCAGATTTCTTTAAACTGAAGTCTAAAGACTTTCAGTTTAAGGGAGGGATTGTTGGAAATTAGATCATATTATTTAGCCATTATCTCTATAATTTAGGAAGTTTAAATTATGTATTTGTTTTAGGTTGTTATAATTTAAATTAGATTAAATGAGATTGATTAGTTATCTTTTTAGATAAAGTTATCTTGTAAAGTCTATTTAAAGGTTAGTTTATTTTCAGTTTGATGAGATTTAGATTTTCATTCCATCTTCTTCTTCTCGGGAATTCTTGACTTTTTAACAAGCATTGAAAAAGACTTCCACAAATGGTCCTTATTTTCTTTACATCTACTCATCATCTGAAGTTTTGTTGTAATAGCTTAAAAGCATTTGCACAAATATTACTGACGACAACGACCTTGACTTGCAATTTCAACCAAGTAATATTTATCTTGATCAAAAAGAAAAAACACAAATAACTTGTTAGTTCCTATTTAGTAACACTTTTGTTTTCTATTTTTGCTTTTATTGCCAAAATTTAACAGCATTTTCAATAAAAACTCATTAGTGTTGTAACTATATATATATATATATATATTTTTAT